GGGTAAACAATGTGGAAGGAAATGAATACTGCCATTCATATTTTATTTCTATTCTCAACCCTGGTTGACATTATGCTTGCACAGAAAGTATTTTTAGAGACATAATTCATATATTCTACTCAAAAGAATTCAAGGATCACTCGATTCTTTCATACCATAACCATTATGATGGCCTTGGCAGATTAACTTTAGTAATATGAACGAATCATGGAACCTTAACTTTTTTTTAGTAGTATATGAAATCTGTGGGAAAACATTCCTGTATGTTTTTCTAATGTGTGGTCAAATATACTACGGGATATATGTTCTAATTGTTAGGGCAGTAGTGTAGCCTAGTTGTTAAAGCATTCACTCGTGGTTTGGTTCATTGCCCATAGGGGCGGTCGGGTAGCCTAGTGGTTAAAGTGTTCGCTTATCACACCGAAGCCCGGGTTCGATTCCTGACATGGGTACAATGTGTGAAGCCCATTTCTGGTGTCCCCCGCCGTGGTATTGCTGGAATATTGCTAAAAGCAGCGTAAAATCAAACTCACTCACTCACTCATTTCCCCATATGGGTACAATTGTAGGTGTAGGCCAGGTTGAGTGTCCCCATGGTAACATTGCTGGAATTTTGCTTGTAGTGGCATAAAACCAAACTCACTCACTCACTTATACTAATTGTTCAAAACACAAGTTGATTTTTTTTTCTTTACATAATACGGAAGGTGTAGCAGGTAGGATTTGCTTAAAAATATTGGGTTCAAATATCATATGACATTCTGGAATATTTCGATAGAGGAATTTTTTTGGCAATTAGGGTATGCATGAAAAATTAATCAAATATTACTGAAATAAAGTACATAATACAGGGATCAATCATAATGTATCACTCCTCTTTCATTGTGTTAAGGAGGGGGCACGGGTGGCCCAGTCGTCTAAGGCGGCGCGATTCGCTGTGCAGAGTTGCGTCCCTTGGGCACGCCAGAAATCTATGATTGTTGGTTCGAATCCCGGTTCGCCCCGATTATGTTTCTAGGTTTGTCAGCACCATACCCGTGCTCGTGGGTTTCACGGAAGTGGTAAACGTCTAAGACCTGCATCACTTCGGGCTTTCCTCCCACATTAAGCTGACACGCCGTGATATAACTGGAATACTGTTAAAAGCGGCGTTAAACCCAACTCACTCACTCACTCATTGTGTTAAGGAGAAAAGTTCAATATTTACTCGGAAAATATACACATTTCTCAAATACTTGTTGATAAAAACATGGTATGAAGTTAAACTTAAGCATTTTCTCTATTGTTTGCTAAAGTTACAATGTGAAACACTCAGGAAACTTCTGAATTATTACCTTCAGATCAGGTGGCTAAAAAGAAGCATGTTTGAAAAACAGAATTTTTTAATTTCAGCATCATCAGATTTTGCCTGAGTTATCCAAGATAAAGTATTTTAATATCACATGTCACCACAATGCATGTCTTGTTTCAAATGCATGTATTAATAATCAAAATAGCACTATCTTTATCTTGTGAAACACTTCAGTTCAAATAATTGAAACAAAAAACTCCTGCGCAAGATTCGTGTTGCCATGGCAATATATTCATGTAATCTAATCACTTTTTTCCATCTATATGCATGATGGACACACTGACAGATGACTTGTCAGCATACAATACAAAAATTGATTTGCATATTAGCGAATCTAAGACCTGACAAAGGTTCACCCTTTGCTATGCTACAGATAATGAATACCTAAAAGAGTTTAGTGAAGAATTTGTCTACATTCTACATATAAACGGCTTGTAGTGGAGAGATGAGTTTTCTGAAGGCCTTTGAAGCGGTCTCTAGGTAGTTTAGCTACAGGGGTTGTTCCCTAGCTTTAAGCAGGACTTCAAGCACATCAAAGGGAGACAGCATAAATCATCCACTTTATTTACCTTTGAAGTATCTAAGTAGTCTGCCATCACATGACAGAAAATATGAACATGAAATGTTACCTCACGAGAAACACTTCTGGAATAGACTGTTATCACATCAGGGAAAATATGGGCACAGGCTGTTATCTCATGAGAATTATTTGGGGGACACATAGTTACCATATGTGGGTAAAACATTGTTATTTGATGAGAGAAAATATAGACTTAGTTTGTCTGATAAGGGAAAATATGGACATAGATTGTTATCTCATGAGGGTAAAGATGACATGGATTGTGTTCTCATGAGGGAAAATATGGACATAGATTGTTATCTCATGAGGGAAAATATGGACGTAGATTGTTATCTCATGAGGGCAAAGATGGACATAGATTGTTATCTCATGAGGGTTAAGATGACATGGATTGCTATCTCATGAGGGAAAATATAGACATAGATCGTTATCTCATGAGGGCAAATATGGACATCGATTGTTATCTCATGAGGGAAAATATAGACATAGATCGTTATCTCATGAGGGCAAAGATGGACATAGATTGTTATCTCATGAGGGTAAAGATGACATAGATCGTTATCTCATGAGGCAAAATATGGACATATTGTTATCTCATGAGGGAAAATATGGACATAGATTTTTATCTCCTGAGGGCAAAGATGGACATCGATTGTTATCTCATGAGAAAAAAGATGGACAAAGACTGTTATCTCATGACAGAAACTTTCAGCATAGGTTGCTATGAAATGTACAAGGACTATTCTGAGATGATGGATAATAATGGCAAAGACTTACTCAGTGAGGGAAAGTATGGGCCTAGACTGTTGTTGGATTAAGGAAAATATGGGAATTGACTGTTACCTCATGAGGGAAAACATGGACACAGACTGTTATCTCATGATGGAAACTTTCATCATAGACTGTTATCAGATGGGTGAAACTATATGCATAGACTGTTATCACATAGGACATGATGTCAGTAAAGACTGTTTTTCAGATGAGAGAAAATATGGGTAAAGACCGTTTTTAGGTGAGGGAAAATATGGGCGAAGACTTATCAGAGGAGGGAAAATAAGCACTGGCAGCCAATGCTCCCTAATGAAGCCCTTGTGGCTGCAGCAGTGACAGCATGCATGTGTCCAGATCTGTTATTCTGCCTCCTGGCAACAGGAGTCACATGATCATTAAGAATTGCCTACCACCTTTTAAAAGATTAATGGTTTCATGGGCAGGCAAGAGATAAAATCACGTATAGATTAGCCTGACTTTCAATAAGTGATGGCTTCCTTCCAGTAAGTGTCTTTCTTTCAACAGATTAAGACCTCAAACAAAACATTCCCCTTTTTTTAAGCATCAATCATGCAATAAAAAACTGTTTCTTTCCTGTTTTTGTGAATCCAGCAAATCAATAATACTGACGTGTTTCAATGTGATTAAATGGAATTGCTGCAATGTTCAAAGTCAGAAAAGAGGTGGTGAGATAGCCAATTGGTTAGATAAAGCATTCAATGGTTCTGCTGAATACCTTCATTTGATAACCAATAATGGGTCAAGTCCATTTCGGCATTGGGGTAGCTTAGTGGTTAAAGCATTCACTCGTTACGCCAAAAACCCAGGTTTGATTCCACACATGTGTACAATGTGTGAAGCCCATTTCTGGAGTCCCACGCCGTGATTTTGCTGGAATATTGCTAAAAGCGGCGTAAAACCAGACTCACTCACTAAAGTCCATTTCTGGTAGCACTTGTCATTATATTGATAGGCTATTTCTGAAGATGCCTTAAACCCCTACTCACTCACTCACTCACTCACAAAAGTCGCAAATTGAACACATCCACTTCTTTCAAACAATTATCATTTGTACCAGTCTAAAACAAGTAATTGCCAGATTAACATTGCCCAATAACGTGAAGAATTCTTTGTTCTACTGGCCATACTTCTAATGCAAACAACTGCACTGTGTTGACACAAATGCTTGTTTCATAATGAAGTCCTGTGCTTGCAACCAATCATAAGACATTTTCAAGCATACCTAACCTTAGGGCAATATAGGAAGTCAATCTAGTCATGTCCTTGATGTTTGCTCCAATAATCTTGGAATCAAGGTAACCCCTTAACATGGTTATGGGGACCCACTGACATTCATGCTTAACTGTGAACCCTTCAAAATGTTGTACGATGTTTCAAAGGAGCAAGCAAACAAGTTTGAAGTAGCCCCACTCTACATCCAACCAATCACCATTTTAGTAACCTCTCTGCCTTACAATCCCCACATACACCACATGGTATTGGTGCCTTACAATCCCCACATACAACACATGGTATTGGTGCCTTACAATCTCCACATACAACACATGGTATTGGTGCCTTACAATCCCCACATACAACACATGGTATTGGTGCCTTACAATCCCCACATACAACACATGGTATTGGTGCCTTACAATCTCCACATACAACACATGGTATTGGTGCCTTACAATCCCCACATACAACACATGGTATTGGTGCCTTACAATCCCCACATACAACACATGGTATTGGTGCCTTACAATCTCCACATACAACACATGGTATTGGTGCCTTACAATCCCCACATACAACACATGGTATTGGTGCCTTACAATCCCCACATACAACACATGGTATTGGTGCCTTACAATCTCCACATACAACACATGGTATTGGTGCCTTACAATCCCCACATACAACACATGGTATTGGTGCCTTACAATCCCCACATACAACACATGGTATTGGTGCCTTACAATCTCCACATACAACACATGGTATTGGTGCCTTACAATCCCCACATACAAAACATGGTATTGGTGCCTTACAATCTCCACATACAACACATGGTATTGGTGCCTTACAATCTCCACATACAACACATGGTATTGGTGCCTTACAATCCCCACATACAACACATGGTATTGGTGCCTTACAATCCCCACATACAACACATGGTATTGGTGCCTTACAATCCCCACATACAACACATGGTATTGGTGCCTTACAATCCCCACATACAACACATGGTATTTGTCATTGTAACATCTCGCATGAACTTAATGTAGGGTTTACCTGGTGAGAGCAGGACTACAGCAGTAATGATAAGAGAGCAGACGACGACAATGACGAGAAGGGCAATGGCAATACCACGCCAGTTGCGCTGTGAGGCTGCATTTCCCACCAACTCCTGCAAAAAAATAAAAATCATTGTTATACTTGTATAAAATCACAAAAAATGTCACTTGTACATGGAACACAGGTAAAGAAACGTATATTTTTATCCTTGTCAAAGGGGACAAATTACAACATACTGACAATACCATCATGTGGGAAGCCACCAAAGTCCTGTCTACCAACAACAACAACTGGCCACAAAGAAAACTACAAGAAGCCACTGACATCAGGAGACACCAGCCAGCCATGAACCATGGCCAGCTAGGGAACCTATCTGCCCAGAGCTTGGGACTTATTGCTTTGATTATTGTGCCTCGCTAATTATCCAGGCGGGTTCCATTCCTCCATTTGTCCATTGCCATTTCCATTGCTATTACCTAACAGTGGTAATTTGGCCCTGCCTCCCATTTGCCCACTGTCCTATGCCTGTTACCAATCAATCCAGTTGTCTATTGTTAGCACCTATCAGCACAAATTAACTGTTGGCTTCCCTTGTCAAGTTTCCACCTTTGTTATCTAATTACTTTTGTTGTTCTTACATGTAGATATATAAGTTCTCTGCCTCATAGCATTTATTCACCTGATGAAGAAGTAAGTATATACTCCAAAACGTTGTGTTCCTCGTAATGAAGAAGTTGACATCCATGAATTCTCCTCCTTAACATACTGGATGCTTAATGATGTCGCTATGCAAAATCGATGTTGCACTTGTCTGATGAGACTGAATACTATGCAATATTTCAATATCTAAATACAGTGTTGCACTTGTATGATATGACACTGGATACTATGCGATGTTTCAATAACTAAATACAATGTTGCACTTGTATGATGAGACTGGATACTATGCAATATTTCAATAACTAAATACAATGTTGCACTTGTATGATGAGACTGGATACTATGCAATATTTCCATAACTAAATAAAATGTTGCACTTGTATGATGAGACTGGATACTATGCAATATTTCAATATCTAAATACAGTGTTGCACTTGTATGTTCCACTGCACGGATACTATGTAATATTTCAATAACTAAATACAATGTTGCAAGTGTACAATGGCACTAGATACTATGCAATATTTCAATATCTAAATACAGTGTTGCACTTGTATGATGACACTGGATGCTGTGCAATATTTCAATAACTAAATACAAAGCTGCACTTGTACGATGAGACTGAATACAAAATACAATGATCCTTGAATTTGTCTTCTCAGCAACACTGTTCATGTACCTTGACAACAGATCATGCAACAGGTTTTTAGAGTAAATATTATAATTGACATAATTAGCACTTATCCACTAAAAACTACCCCAATTACTACAATAATAGGCCCGTGAAGATCAGGATATAATAAGTCTTCTAGGTATAAGCAGCCCATGCTTGTCGTAATAGGTGACTCTGCTTGTCGTAAGAGGTGACTAACGGGATCGGGTGGTCAGGTTCACTGACTTGGTTGATGCATGTCATTGATCCCAACTGCGTGGATCGATGCCCATGTTAATTTGTCAATCACTGGATTGTCTGGTCCAGACTCGATTATTTACAGACCGCTGTCATATAGCTGGAATATTGCCGAGTGCAAACAACAAACAATAACACCACAGAAAATATTTATTTACCACACTGGAATGTATGGGACAGACTGTACGTGTTAATGAAGCCCTCACACTAGATCCTCGCAAGCACCACACTGCCTCTCACTAGTATAGTATTCTCCTCATGACATTGTTTGTTGTCTCACTCCATGCAATGTATGTTTAGAAGCATCACCAATTCCAATTGTTAACAAAAGACAAAGGAAGACAATCTCTTGCACAGAGCATGGAAATATCCAGTGTGACATACAGCTATTACCAGCATCAGTATTGAACTTCACTTCCTCCCCGAAACTAATGGAAATCACTACAGGATTCACTGATGATTAGTGTCATACAAAAGTGCAAAGCAGTTGAGATTATTTCTGTTTTATAGATTATTAATGTGGTTCGTCTTGTTCTTCTAATGGGTATATGCTATGTGATATTTGCCTATGTTAAATCAATGGCATGTTAACTTGTTTCAAAGTGTTCTGAAAATGATATACCAATACTGATGAGGCAGGTCGTAGTTTCTGTCAGTAAAGACTAGCCATGGATGGAAACAGTTTGAAAGACAAGTAAAATATATTTATCCTTTATGTATTCAACCATGACTTTTGAAAGATTATAGAAATATAGACTCATCGACATCACCAACTGCACAAAAGGATCTTAAGGCTAAGACTATTGTAAGTCTATGTTAAAGTATGGGAGTTACGATCATCTTAGCGCTAAGATCGCTTTGTGCAAGTGGGCCCAGGAATGTAAATATAAAACATCAACACCACAACATAATCTGTCTCGATAATCTGCTGAAACAGTGAGTGAGTGAGTATGGTTTTATGCCGCTTTTAGCAATATTCCAGCAATATCATGACGGGGGACACCAGAAATGGGCTTCACACATTGTACCAATGTCGGGAATCAAAACCGGGTCTTCGGCGTGACGAGCGTGCTGGTAATATTTGGGACACAAGTTGGTTTTATAGTCCTAAGCTCAATGAGATACGAAGGTTGAGTGACAAGTTCTGAGCATCACATAGAAGGAATTGTGTAACAGTGAAATATTATTTTGTGACCCTACATGATGTCATAGTTTTATCCACAAAAACCCGAGTCAATTGAGCAAACTGTTTCATTTTGACCAGTCACAAAAATATGTAGGGTTCTGTGATATTTGGAAAATGGACAAACTATAGGAACAAACACCTATATAAAGATTTCTTGAAGTTCAATATTTTTCTCACCACTAAAAACTATGGATGTTACATAGCTTTGTACTGAAATATTTCTCACATGAACTGATACAGCATGGTTGTGAATGAGCTTGTGTCATGTACATCTCCATAACCAGAGCCAGTTGTTTCATAGGAGGCTATGAGGTGAGACCCGTGAAGATTCCGGGGTAGAATAGGTCTTCAGCAACCCATGCTTGCCCTGAAAGGCGACTATGCTTGTCGTAAAAGGCGACTAACGGGATCGGGTGGTCAGGCTCGCTGACTTGGTTGATGCATGTCATCGATCCCAATTGCGTGGATCGATGCTCATGATATCAATCACTGGATTGTCTGGTCCAGACTCGATTATTTACAGACCGCTGTCATATAGCTGGAATATTGCTGAGTGCGGCGTTAAACAACAAACCAACCAACCAAGGTGGGGTGAAATCGGGTTTAACATCATGCTGACTTGTATAGTCATGACATGCATTCATGAGTGTGTGTTTGGCTGCTTGAACAAGTCCTGACTTATTCTGTAATAGTGCCCATTGAGATACCATGCCGCACGATAAGATCCCCATCTCAGAAATATTATATTGACTCCAAGCTGACCAATCCTAAAAATGTTTTATCCCCTTTATGTCGGACGTCAGGCAGGGTAATAACAAGTACCATCTTTTAATGTCTTTTAATATGGTGCACCCTGGAGATACACCCACCGACATTCCGCTCCCTGGGCAGACACTCCATCCACAAGACATTGGAGGTGGGCTAAGATGGAATGAATTATACATAATGTGAACCTTCCACACAATACTGTTCACTATATTTTGGATATGTACCACAATGGTATCAGATAATATCATATTAGATAATATGATACACTGTTGGGAATAAAGTATATGGGTAACCAACCCCCCATTTTAGGCATTCTGCACACTACTTCATTTTTCTTGGCATCCAATTTAAGAATTCTTGAGTCACATCAGTGTACACAGCTGCTACACGTAAACTAGACTGGGATTTTCACATAGAATGCATGACCATGCATGCTCATCAGCTTAGGGCAAAATATTTTATTGATTTGTCACTCAGTACAAGAAAAAATGACCCAAAATGTTTCAGCACCGAAATATTGACATCTGTGTACCAGATAGACATTTCCCTACATCCAGTGTACTGCACTGCAGCATCCAGAAACCACGTAACCACAGGGCTCGGCATCTGGCGTACCATGACTGGCATGGAACCCTCACACATCATAATAACAAGAAAATACACACACTTTGGGGGTCAAAAATGATACAGGATGTGGTTTCAATAAACAAGAAATTACGTTGTTTTCGTCTAAAATGTCTTTTTTCAGCAATGCCAGAAGCAGCTACGTATTTGTACATTGGACAATATAGTCTTGATTGGGAAAATAACAACACTGTCCTCTTTGGTCATGTGTAAATGATACCAGCTACACCATCATCATCACATGCAGCCAGTGTATACATCTCCCAAATGCAGCTGAGGATTCTGTCCAAGTACCATCTAAGAAGGTATTTTTAGTTTTCCCTGAATCCTCGCCACCTCAAACAAACATCCCCTATGAAACAAAGGTCTTCTTCTAGAAGACAGGTAAAATGAAAGCTATGACTACTGATTGACAGTGATGAAGTTGTGGTCATCAGGAATTCAATACAGTTGTGCTGTATGTAGGTTCAGGACTGTACCGCTGCATGCCCATCAGCTTGACGTAAGTACATGCCTTCGTCCATTACACCTGCATATTGGTGCTGACCGTACTTCAGGGTCCTGTGAGCTGTGGTGACAAATCAGCAAGGCACTCACTTGACGCGAGATCCACTCATGCCGCTTTCCCAAACTCCTCACTCACCACTTGTGATGACAGAGACTTTGTCTAACCAGTCTACTCAACCTCCAGATAGGCAGGTGTGTTAAACAATGGCTAATTATTCACTGTAATGCAATTAATTGAACAATTATAACACGCAGCCACCTACCTCTCGTTCCCGTAGCATTGCGGACTAAGTCTTCCCGAAAATCAATAAACTTGTGTTGAATCGTTGTTCATATACAACCTGTGAGATCCAGAAGGAAATACAATCTGTCAGACGGCTTAATCAATGAAGGGATTTTTCTGCGACTCTGTCCAGTCAGGGAACCTAGAGATCCCCTGGAGGCGACATACCGATAA